TGATTTTATCCCAGTAAGACCTCCAGAACTGTAAGATAAATTTGTGTTGTTTTAAATGGCTAGATTTGTGATAATTTGTTACAGTAGCAATAGGAAACTAATATAGCCCCAAAGACTTTCAGATTCAAAGAAATTAAGCTATAATGGTAGAATTTCAGGGCCTGTGATAATAACAAAGCATGGACTTGGGAGGCAAACTGATGGGAATTAGTGAAAAAATTACTTTCTGTTTATCAGTTTCCTTGTCTATAAGCTGAGTAGTTACAAAATATAAAACATATAAAACAGTATCACTGGAAAGATTCAATGAGTTAATATATGTTAAGAACTTGACACCAAGTAAATAAAAAATTCTTTATCATACATGTATCCCTTGTCAACCTTTTGTTGGTTATTAGTTGAGGTTTATCTCCTCTGAATGAATGTGACCTCCATGAGCACAGATATGCCAGCAGTTTCACCTACCACCAAATCTCAGGGCCTTGCACCATGCCTGGATCACAGAAGGTATTCAATAACTAATTGTCAAATGACTCACTGTTATCCAGCGTGACAATGATGATGATGTCGACCAGCTCTTATAGCTTGTGGGCTGAAGCATTCACGGATGTCACTTTAGCAGGGGCTGCTCAGAGCAGGTGACCTTCCTCACCTTCACCTGCCCATAATGATACTAACCTTCCCCAGGTGTCTCAGAACCCCTTCTGCCATCAGTTTCAGGCACAGACCTGTATGATATATTCAAAGATCAGAGCCATGCTCCCCAGGGTGGTGATATTGGCCAGTGTCGAGAAGATGGACAGCATCCTGAGGTTCTGGATAAACACCAACAGGACCAGGAAGGGCAGGATTGTCAGCATGTAAAAGCGGATGTCCAGGATGGGGGTCAGCACCAGGATCTTCCTGGGTTGGCAGTTGTTGGAGGTCATGTGGGCATCTTCCACCATCTGATGTAGACATAATGAGGGGCAGTGTAGTTATATTAAATACAAAAGACCCAGTTAAGTTTCTTTTTCCGATAATTATCAAGTGACTTTTTAGAAAAGTGTGTCCCAAATATTCCACAGGACATACTCATAGTAAAAAAAAAAAATATTTGCTGTGTATGTGAAATTCCAATTTAACTGGGTGTTGTATTTTTTTTTTTTTGGTCAAATCTGGTAACCCCAACTGTGGTGCCCATGACTGTGACAATAAGAAACCCTTAGAATCTTAAAATCTCCTTTTGTCATCTAACCCAGCCTCTTCTTCCCTGTCAAATGGTTTCCTTTCATATACTCAGAGAATGGAAGTTGATTACACAAGAATATCTTCTCGAACTTTAGATAGCCCTAAAAGTTAGAAAGCTCTGAACACTGAGCAAAATCTATCTGCTTGAATATTTCATCTACAACACTTGCCATAGTTCTGGCCGTTTGAATGCACAAAACCAATTATGCTCCCTCTATTCCATGAAGCCAAGAAAGAATGCTATGATTGATTCGTAAGGCCTCTTGGGAATGCAATGAGGGCAAGAGTGCAGCCTGTTTGTCTCATATGTGGTTAGTCATCTTCTATGTGACAACCCTGAGATACAGGGTTGGTGAATCTCACCAACACTTTTCAGGCTAAAAATTCGCAATTATTTCTGATTGGACATGATTGGAAGCCTCTCTTTCCACCCTGGCTACATTCCTCAGATGTTGCTTTGGTTTCTCAATAATCCTCTTTTTTAACAAGTGATTTCCAGGACTGAGAGAACTCCCAAGTAGTCTGATCAGGAATGACAAATGAAACCATCTCCTCCCAAGATCCGAACACTATACTTTTGCTAATGCAGCCCTAGCAGTGGGATGTCTGCTTTTCTCCCACTCTGCCCAGAAGAATCGTCTTCACCTGTTGTAAGTTGTCTGCCACAAACATAAAATAAACGCTGCAGAATCCCAGTTGGGTGGTGATTAATAAGAAGTTGACGGTGTACCTGAACAGGAAAAGAAGAGACAGAGGGAGAAAACAAATTACCTTTTAAAATGTACCTATTTTTATTTTTTGAAATGATTATTTCTGTTATTATTTTTAATACTTTGCTACATTTTTTTTATTTTGAAAAATTTCAAGCCCACAGAAACAGTTGAAAGACTGGTATAATTAACATCCATATGTGCTTTAACTAAATATGCCAATTGTTAACTTTTGGCCCTAACTGCATTATATAAATATGTATGTGTATATGAATGTATGTATTCATCTACACACACATGCATTCTTTTTCAGAACCACTTGAAAGTCAATTGCAGATTTCATAATACTTCAGCCTTAACTCCCTCAGCATATCCCTCTTGAGACTATGATATCCAGAATATCAACTTCAATGTCCTCAAATATATAGTCCATATTTTAAATAACCCAACTGTCTCAAATATATCTTTCAAACTGTTATTTCTTTTTTGGATTCAGGATCTAATCGAGGTTTATATATTGCATGTGGCTATGTCCCTAGTCTTTATCCACATAGACCAGCCCTATGAACACCCACATTCTTTGGTTTTCCATGACATTGGCTTTTGGGGAAGGATTCAGGCCAATTGTCTTGTAGAATATCCCACACTGTGGACTTGGATGATTGCTTCCTCATGATTAGATTCAGGTAAGCATATTTGGCAAGCATACCACACAGGTGATATTTGGTACTTTTTCCATCACACTGGGAGGCCCATGGTGTCCTCTGGCCCCACTGTGATTATGACTGTCAGATGACTCCGTTGCAAGTGCACATTTCCCTCGTTAAAATCTGGAAGTAAAGCCTTGAGATGTATGAATATTCTGTTTCTCTCCAGCCAAGGGTTTTAACATTCATTGGTGATCCTTGTCTGAATTGGTTATTTCATCGGTGACAGGGTGATGGTTTTCTCATTCTATCTGGCATTTTTTTCTAAATTTATCAGTTGGCATTTAAGAAGGATATATTCTTCCTCTTTTTTGGTATCACAAAAAAACCCCTCACATTGATTTTTTAAATTTAGTATATTATACTCTATTATTGTCATTATTCTTTTGAATTCTTCAATTGTCCCAAATTTGGAGATGCATTTGTTGTTTAAGGGAACAAAAATATGTTCCTCTACTTAGATCAGTTTAGATGAGATTGAGTGCGTTCAGGGTAGTATGGCCTTAGATCAGTGGCTTTCAAAGTTGGTTTGCCGTACCACTTGCATCAGCATTACCTGAAGTTTATGCAAAAAATACAGATTCCTGACTCTCACGTCAGCCTATCAAATCAGAAGCTTGGTATCATGTGAGACCAGAATAGAGATGGTTTCTCTCTTTATTATGGAAATTTTCAAACATATACAAAAGCAATGACGATAATCCTTGACTCCTCATCTGCCAATCGCAGCTTCAACAATCATTAACTTTTTGCCAGTCCTCTTCTATCTATGCCTTTACCCCTACCACACATATGCTTATTTGTTGGAGTATTTGTAGCAAACTAGAGAATTTAAGGCACTTCATCTGTAAATAATTCCATATGCAACTGTAATGGATAAGGACTTACTATATATATATATATAAAATATGTCCAACATGCCATTATCATCCCTTGCAAAATTAGTAATAATTTCTTTATCTCATTTAATAATAGTCCATATTCAGATTTCTCTAATTGTCTTAAAAATATCTATTTTACTGCTAGTTTCTAAACAAGTCTATACATTGCATTTTGTTATTTCTATTACATCTCTTAAGTTTTTAAAACTGCTACATTCCCCTTGCTCTGCTTTCTTTTTTTTCCCTTGCAACTTTTAACTTTTTAGGGGGTGTTGAAGATACCAGATAATTTATCCTATAGTATGTCCCACTTCCTAGATTTGGTTGATGACTTCCTCACAATGTCAGTTAATGTGTTTCTCTATCCCCCATCTTTCCTCTAAACTGATACTAGATCTAGCAGCTTGACTACATTGAGGTTCTTTATTTATCTCTCTGGCAAGGATATTTCGGGGGTGATACTCTGTACTCCCTAGTGTATCCCATTATAAGACACATTGTGTCTGGCTATCCCATGTCTAGACATGAGATGCTATGATTAATACCTGGGGTCAGGTGGTGTCAGTGTTGTCTTCCTTTATAAAGTTTCCCAATGACCTTTCACCTAGAAGCTTGAGCATCCATTGATGATTGTTGCCTGCATCAAGCTCCCAGGAATCCCTTAGCATACTAAAAATTACAAATCATTGTTTAAAATATGTTCCCAACTCTTTTTCAGTTACTGGGCCTCTCAAGAAATGGTACAGTGTAATGGGTGGGAACTAGATGTTCAGGATTCTAGTTCTTGCTCTACCACTCAATTCCTGTGTAACGTTGGGCAGCTTTATTGCCCTATCTGGGCTTTATATTTCTCCGTTGACTAGGCATGGATACGGTGGTCTCTAGGGACCCTTCTTACCCACGAGTTTTATTCAGGAGTCATCAGAAACAAACCTTGGTGAGAAAGGATGAGCATTTGTAAGTCATTCATTATTATGCCCCATGACCTCACCTGTCTGATAATCAGAGTGTCTCCTGATCAAGAGAGCGATGACCTACTGAGAGTCCCAAGAGAGGAGCTGCAGAAGGGATCTTGGCAGCCACAATACTGACTCACTACCTCCTGAAGGGCTCTGCTGGGAAAGGCTGAAATGTTAGGTTTGGGTCGAATTTTGTGCAACCGCTATCTCTAGCTCTTTGTGGACATGTTATTTTTTTCCCTTATGAGCCTTGGTCATCTCATATTTCCAGGACAATAAAGACCCTCCCTGCATATCTACAAAGTCAAGGAGATGATCAGAGGAGCTAAGACACAGAAAAGCATCTTGTATACCAGGTACTTTTTATCAAGCAAGGGAGCAGCCTGAATGCTCACCATTAGGGGAAGGGAAGGCTTAAATGAAACTATGGCACATGTCCCCACTGAGGAACATCGTGAGACTTAAAACATAACCAGGTAGGCCCAGGACCATCCTAAGCTGCCACAGGACACCATGAAGCTGCTGCCAGTCTTGGAGCCTGGATACAAGCCCAAGAAAGCAACATGGTATGCCTTGACCATACCCCCCAACCCCTGCCCCCGAGATAGCTCCTGTGCTCGGGTTGGCCCACGGTTGCTCATATTCACCCCCAGCTGGTGATGCCAAGAGAGGGAAGGTCTTCATTGTTGTGGGGGCAGATCCAAGCAAGAGCTTCTCAGATGGGCACACCACAGGTCCAGGAACACACCAGTGGGATTTAGCCACCCTGAAGGGCCTCTTACCCCATTACAAGCATGCCAGCTCCATTTCCTCTTATGCACCTCATAGCACCTGGGTGTTTAGAGGTATTGACTAGTCAGGAGACTGAAATTGCCTACAAGTTCTGAATCCTGAAACTAGGACTTTGGACCATGCCAGAGGTGAGCACCCCCCACCACCCCTAAGAACATTCCATACATCATCTGCAGCCATTAGAAACCAGTTGTATGTCTTTGTGGGTGGAGAGAGAGGTGCCCAGCCCATCCAGGGTGTGAAGCTGCATGTGTTTGACACAGACTCTCTGACCTGGTCACAGACAGACACACTTGGAAAACCTCCATCCCTCTGGCATGGTCATGTGATGGCGTCAGCAGGGGACAAAGCTCTTCATCCATGGAGGCTTAGCAGGGGACAAATTCTATGATAATGTCCATTGCACTGATAAAAATGACATGAAGTGGCAGAAGCTAAGTCCCACCGGGGCACCTCCCATAGACTATGCTGCGCACTCAGCTGAGGTTGTGGGGAAACACCTGTACATCTTTGGAGGGGTGACTCCCCCCCAGAAGCACTGGATACAATGTACTACTATCACATAGAAAAGCACCCATTAGATGGATCTTGCTTAAATTTGAAAATTTTCTACCACCTGGATGTTCCAATCATTCTATGTGTGTCATTCCATAGTCAGTGATATGTACTTCTGAGAAAGAAGATTCAAATTCAGTCACTCTGGCTCAAGGTGGTGACTCTCATGAAGAAAGTCAGACTGACACACTGCTCTGTTTTGCATTTGGTGGGATGAATACAGAAGGGGAAATCTATAGTGATTGTATTGTGACTGTGGGTTGACTAATAAATCGCATATTTTTACTAAATGACAAAAAAAAAAATAGGTAGATCTCTATGTCCCAGTGTGGAAAGAAATTAAAGACATATTGCTAGATGAAAGAGCAAATTTCAAAAAAAAATTCTAATTAGTGTACAAGAAAATGCAAAATGAAATATGTATTTCCACTCACACACGTATATTCATGTACGTGCAGAGACAAAGTCTAGAAGAATATTTACTAACTAGGTATCAGTGGTTACTTATCGGATGAGGCGTGGGATGGGGATGGAGAGGAGAGTCTCTGTATTGTTCGATGGTTTGTAGTAACAACATACTCACTTAACCCTGTGTAACTCGGAACAAAGGAAGATCAGGTGAGGATTATTATTGTTCTTACTACTCACTCCCACCACTACTGCTATGACATCTATGAGTACTACCTGCCCCACACTGAGTGGGTCCTCAGCCAGGTGTTTGGGCAGGTTTCCAGGCTGTACATCATGGCCTCTCCGTAGTTCACAAAAGTCTTTTGCGATCTAGGGGAAGGGCAGGCAATGTATAACTTAAAGCATTTTTGTTAAAGGTATACTTTACTCTCAAAGTGAGTAATTATTGTATATTTGTGTGTTAGCATGGAATGTTCTGGAAATTTTCTAGCAATGGTATTAACAAGATATTTTATAATACACTTTCACAACTTTCAGGAGGACTGCCTTTTTTTCTTTTTTGTAGTTGTCTTCTTGAACACTAATATTTAAGTGAAAAGAGATTTTTAAGGAAACAGTAGTTTTGCATTGACTTAAGTCTACAAACGAGGAAAGAGGGGTCATGAAAGGTGTGAGGTGTGCAAACCAAGTCAGGGGAGGAAGTAGAAGAGGGGGTGTGGGTATGGCCAAGCCAGCGATGGTCTTTTCTGGACTTTATTCCCTCCTTCCCACTGCAGAGGGCGTTGGAACATTCGAGAGGCCTGCCTCAGACAAGGTCCCATGCAAACGTGGTACTTAGGTTTCTGCCCAGCACCGCTGTAGGATGTGACACCCAAGCTGCCATCTGTCTTGTCCCTCTGCCCTAGATGGCCCTTCCTAAGGGCAGGGAAGGCCCTACTGAGGAATCATCTGCGGGCGGTGGGAGCAGCAGTGGGTGGCCGAGGGACGGATCCCCGCTGCTAACTGCGTGACTGAGGGGAGTAGCTGGGAGAGGGAAGGACACCCAGACTTGGGTCTTGGGTTTAAATCCCAACACGCCCTCCCCCCTCAGATGACTGAGAAACCTTGAGCAAATCTCTTAAGACTTCTGAGCCTCAGTGTTTTTCACACACAGTCTGGGTTTGAGGGAGGAGCCGGTGACCGAAGAATGTGGAGATGCCACCGGAAACAGGGCATAATCCTTCTATTTTTATTATTGTTCATTGTGCTTGGCACTCCCATATAAATGAGGTCATGTTGCATAGGAGTGGCAAATTTATTAGTCTGAGGGTTACAAATCCAAAAGCTATGGGGCCAATCAGGTATCAGTGATATGGGGAGAGGGCTGGTGTACCACAGAAGGAGGAAGAGTAGAGACCATGGCAAGCCCCTGGTACACATTCTGTTCTAAGAGGGATCGACCGGGATTCGGTTCCCCCTGAGCAATGAAGGAATGAGACCCCAGAGGTGCCAGATTGTCTAACTGGCAAGGAGAAGGTGGAGTTTGATTTTTTCCCTAATGTGAAATCTCCAGGTGTAAACATAGGCTAAAACAAAACGAAACAAAAACTGCAAAGCTCTTAGGCCATCAGTCTGTAACCTTTATATCAGAAAAAAAATGAGTCAAAAAAAAAATCAGGGGGCGCCTGGGTGGCTCAGTTGGTTAAGCGTCTGCCTTTGGCTCAGTTCATGATCGCGGGGTCCTGGGATCGAGCCCTGCATCGGGCTCCCTGCTCAGTGGGGAGTCTGCTTCTCCCTCTCCCCCTCCAACCCTTCATGCTCTCTCCCTCTCTCTCATAAATAAAATCTTTATTTTTTTATTTATTTTTTAAAAGATTTTATTTATTTGAGAGAGAGTGAGAGAGAGAGTGCACGAGCGGAGATAGGGTCTGGGACTCCAAGATCATGACCTGAGCCGAAGGCAGTCGCCCAACCAACTGAGCCACCCAGGCGTCCCAGAATAAATAAAATCTTAAAAAAAAAAAAAATCAGGAAAAGGCTTATCAGGAATGGCTTAGGCATCAGAAACCTACAAGGTGATATAATTGTCCCAGCAGGTGTGAAGGGAGAGAAGATTTGCAGAATGGTTGGAGTGGGTCCCACAGGCCTTTGAATACCAGCTCTGCCACTTCCTAGCTGTGTGACCCTGAGCAAGGCATTTAATTCACCTAGGTCTCAGTTTACTCATGTGTAAGATGGGGATAATAATAGTGCCTGCCATAAAAGTTTACTGTAAGGAGTAAATAAAAGAAGGCTTGTAAAGCTCTGGCCATGTACCTTGCACATGTAATGCGCAATAAATTTAATTGTTGAATAAGTAAATGCTCTTAAAAGTGTTTTGAGAGCTGGAAAGTGCCCTACAAGTTAGGTGTGACTGATGTATACTCCAGACACACCAGTTTGGATTTGATAATTTGGCTTTATGAGGAGTTTCAATTACTATCTCTACTTTGACCTATGAGGAGTCTCTGTATATCTACAAGGACCCCTTTTGATTTGCATGCCTTGGGAGCAGCTAAGTGTTGCAGATAGAGAGCCACCAAGCAGTTGGCTGTAAGGAATTACTAATCATCCACGAATTGTTGGTTTGTAAATATGAAACTCTCAGCATTGTTTGTCTTCATTGCATTTGTCTTCCCTTTTGGGAATTTTTTTTCTTTGTGCTGGAGTTTCAAATATGGAAACATTGAGTATTGTATGTATGCTTTATTAATGACTGGAGCCATTGTGAATTATTCATTTCAACTATATGTTTTTTGCTTTTACTAAATTGTCCCAGAGAGGGTTTACCTGGGACAAATTACTCTAACAAGGTGCGTGTCTTGGAGTTAGGGGGAGGGTGGGTGTAGGGAGATAAGGGGAAAGAAGGACATCCTAAGTATCTCGCATACTCATGGCAGTTTATAAAGCATGCTTGCATCTTTTATCACCTTTGATCTTTCCAGGTACAGATATTTAGGTCAGAGGGTGCAGGAACTCGACAAAGTCATCCAGCAGGTTAGCCGAGTTGGCCCGGGACCTAGGAGTTTCCAGTTGCGATTGTATCACCCTCTCCACCACCTCTATAGAATCTAGAGCAGTAGGTGAGGTAGCTGGAGAAGTGGTTGGTTAATCGGGTCAGTGGCCAAAGGAAACTCAGCACAGACGGGGCCTGGCACTGGGGGGAGAGAGAGAGGCAGGATTCTCACCTCCGACTGAGGTGATGGGCGCAGTTCAACAGGATGACCATGCAGTGCACAGTGAGGATCCCAATGGCCAGCAGGCTGATAGGACCCACCTGGAGGGGAAAGAGAGTGGGGACAGTGAGCCATACACTGATTATTCCCGTAACTGGCCCTCTCCCAGTCTGGGTGCTAGGGCCCCTCTCATCATAAAGCTGCCTCTGGGATGGAGGTCCTTGCCTGAATATCCTTGTGTCCCTAGACAGTCTAGTTGGAATGCCCTTCCTCCCACTACCTCCACAGATAGCCCACGTCTTTCCTCATCTGTCTTGGGTTCTGCCTTCTAGATCCCTCTTTCCTTCTTCACACCCTAGCCCTCACCTCCTCTAAGATACTTGAAGACCAAGGTTTCTCTTAGGACTTGGTTCTCTTCCTCTAGCATAGAGTTGCCAACAGGGGCATTAGTGAAATTTTGGACCAGATGATTCTTTGTTGTGGAGGCCTTCTTGTGCATTGTAGGATGTTTAGCATATTCCTTGGCCTCTATGCAAGGGTCAGCGGCACTCCCTCTCCCCGTAAGTTGTGACAGCTGAGAATGCCTCTAGACACTGTAAATGTCTTGGGAGGTGTGTGTGCAAAATTGTCCCCAGTTGAGTATCATTGCTCTAGTATGTCTAATTTGTCATTAACCCTATTATTATTATTTTTTTTAAGATTATTTATTTATTTATTTGAGAGAGAGAATGAGATAGAGAGAGAGCATGAGAGGGGAGAGGGTCAGAGGGAGAAGCAGACTCCCCGCTGAGCAGGGAGCCCAATGCGGGACTCGATCCCGGGACTCCAGGATCATGACCTGAGCCGAAGGCAGTCGCTTAACCAACGAGCCACCCAGGCGCCCCTGATTTGATTGATTTATTTATTTTTTAAAGATTGTATATATTTAAGGTGTACAACATGACAATTTGACATACATATACATAGTGAAATGCTTATACTGCAGTCAGGCTAATAAAACTATCTTATCCTCACATAGTTTCCATCCTTTTGTGTGATGAGATTAAAATACAGAACTCATTATTAATCCTAATCTCTCAGATATTACAGGGGCATAGAGTAAAGAGGGACTCCCTCACCTCCTCTGTGCTGGACACCTGTGCCTTTATAGATGTGACCTGATGTAACATTATCACAAAGTAACAAATGAGAGATCAAGAGCACCACTAGATTTCACTAGAACATAGCTTCCATATAACAGAGACTTCTTTTGATCTTGTTTACTTCTACATTCTCAGGGCCTAAGAATGCACATAGTAGGTGCTCAGTATGTATTTTTCAAATGAGTCATGGTCAGAAGTTCTGGTGGGAGATGGAGGGCAGGGAAATCACCGAATGACTCTTAGGAAGCAAAAATCAGAGGATAACAGAGCTATCTTCAACAGCAAATATCACATGGCTGAGGGCCATGTGGTAATAATACTTTTCAGAGGTTCTAGAACTCTGAGGATTTCAAAGGCAGAGAGTCTCATCTGTGGGTCGGAACTGCTACAGATTACAAGTCACGTCAGAAGAAGCCAGACTCTTGATATGCCTTCTTTTGACATGCGGGCCACTCACGAGGCCTGGAAAGGAGAAATTAGCATCATCTAAATGGAACTCATATATCTGGCATGAATTCAGTTCAATAGACATGAATTGGGACTTCCTGTG